CCCACCGGGAGATTATGGCGCCGACAGAGAGGGTCGTGATGTGCGGCGCCAATTGCTCGACACCAGAGGTAGAAGGTGTCTGAACTGAAGGTCTGGAACATGATCAGTGGGCAGAAAATAGTTCGATGCTCTCCGATGCGAGAACCTGGAACCCTTCGCGTATCGTATTGAAAGACAACTGGTGCAGAATATGACGATCTCTCTGCGACAAGAGGCACGGAAAAAGTCAGAGGGGACAGGGGGGCGGCACAGGTAGGGAGGCAGGTACCTGCTCGCTCGTCAGCTCGCCATCCGGCAGCCCGGCGCACTACGACGACAGAGCACGGGCGCCACACACCCAGTGCTGTGAGCCCGGCGGCGGCGGCGGCGGAAAGGGTGTGTGCTTCCACATCAGGCTCTCTCAGTGGTGCCCGGATTGTTGAGGCTGCACACCCACCCACCACCACCCCCAGCCTAGCAGACAGCCGCCACCGTTGAATGGACTAGACGGGTCTATTATGTACAAGCGACACCCGAGACGACGTTACTCTGGTGCCGTCGCGGGGGCGCCGGTTCCTCGAACAACCCGACACTACGTCGCGCTGCGATGGCGTGGTGGGCTGCCTAGATAACGCGACAGACGGCGTGGAGGGTGTTGAGGCAGAGATAGATAGTGGCGGCGGGGAAACGTGCTGTCAAGTGGCCAGTGACGCTGGAACAGATGGACAGAAGTGGGCAAAGAGCCTTCTGCCTCGTCGTCAGCGCACTGCCGTTTACCGTCAGTGCAGCCTAGCTCGTAGGTGTGATGAGACAGCCCAGTCGGGGACTGTAGCTTGGAAGAAAGCATCCGATAATGCCTCCGCGAGGGAAAATATCGACGGCTGTTCTGCCGAATGGCCCGCGCGCACGACTGGGAAAGGTGTTGCGAGATGCATCATGGATATGCAGCAACGTATGACTCCATGGACAAATCCTCCACGGACGTCCATGGCTGGCTGCTGCATCATCATGATGCCCACCTCCCCGACCAGACCTGTCTGGCTTGCCGTGAAAGAAAAGACGGGCGTCCCGCAGTCGTGCCATTCTGGGACAATACTGGGGTTGATAGGCAAATACCTTAGGGAAACACCAAGCAATCGTCTGCATCTGCGCTCTTTTCCTCGCTATCCCGAGAGAGGGATTCGGTCCTTCCTCTTTGCGACAGCGACAGTTATCGCCAAGACCCATCGGGCCCCACGCACCCCACCAGCACGTCTATTGCATCAGGGCGCTCATTGGCCCGCCAGTGAGATTCGGGCAGGACGCTAGCGCTTTCTAGAACCCGCAACCAGCGTCAGTGAGGGGGCCCAGACCCCCGGGGGCCACCTCCTTCAGGCTCTCGAGGTCTTTTCAGTGCCTTGAAGGAGCGCTGAGCTGCCCGCTCAGGAGACCGAGGGCGGCTCTTGGCGGGATCTTGGCGGAGAGGGGCGCGGGCTAGCATGACGTAGCGCCGTGTCGCACTGGGCGCACCCCGCCGCGCAATGCTGCCTTGCCCAGTCTGCAGTGGCTGTTCACAGGCACTGTGTCTTGGGTGCCCGCGGGCGGGGGTCCACTCACGCCCGGCGGGCTTCATGCGCGCTGCAGCGGGCAGTCTTGGTGTTTCTCCAGCACAGCGGACTGCAAGAACCAGCCAGCCAGCTCGCTCCCACAACTACAGGCCGGCGTGATGATGCATCTGCGCAGGAAAGCACTATCGCGTAGGCAGGCGCGCACAGTCACGCAACGCAACCACTCAACCGGCCTTCCGCATCCATCGGCTGCCGTCGGCGTGCTCGTCCGGGGTGCGTGAGCTTGCCGAAGCATCCCGCCGCGATCCAGCAGATGTTGGAACTGGAGAAAAAGAGCGACGCCAGCAGGAAGCCAAAAGCGAATCGACGGGGTTGACCGGGGTGGCCGGTTGAGACGCTTGCCCACCGTTCCGCCAATACGGTTGCTGCTTTCCACGCTTCCAAGACGTGGTTGGAACTCTAGACTTGCATCACTTGTCGAGGGAATGTGGGTCTGGGGCAGAGCCGACTCCATTCTCCGCTTACATGGTACCACACTCCAGCTTCCAAGCATCCCACCTCTCCCCCTTGTCTCCCCAGGCCGCCCCTCCCTCCCCCCCCCCCCCACTGCCCCCCATCTACTGCACTGTAGGTAGGTACTGTACTCCAGCAAGAGCGAACGGCTGTGCCGGTTTCAACCTTGCCACCCCTACGGAAACGCCCAACAACGTCCATTGCGTGATGGTCGTCTTAAGGCTGCCGTCCCCCCGGCCTGTCCGTTCTGCCGGAGCCTTGTGTTATTATTAAACCATCCCGCCCTGCCCCTCGACGCTACCGATTGCCTCTCCGTCTTCCTATTCAAGCATTCACTCACATTGCTTACTCGCCGATGACTCGAGCTCCCCTGTTGATCACTCCCCTCAACACGCCGCACTCCAGTCTGCCTGCCTGCACATCACGAACGCAGCACCGTGCACCATAAGTGGCCGTAGCTTCCTCGACATCCATCTACCCATCGACACGACAAAGCCACCACCACAATGGCTATCCGTGACCACTTCCGCCGCAGCGTCCGCAAGTCCGACGCATCAGATGTCGCCTCCGCCGCCTCGGGCCACCACTCCAACTCATCCACCACGTCCTTCCAGCGCCTGGCCAAGACCTTCTCCTGGAAGCCCCGTTCCGACTCGTCCAGCAACGCCAGCAGCAACACGAGCTCGTCTTCCGATGACGACACGCCGGCACCCTGCATGACCGACGACAGGCCCGAAAAGGGCGTGCCCTCGTGGCTCAAGAAGAAGAACAAGCCCGCCAAGAAGCCCCTCTTCGCCGGCCTCAGCCTACCCACTCTCTACGGAGGCGGCGCCAAGGCCAGCAAGTCGGCCGTCGACCCCCGCGAGAAGCCCTTTACCGAGATCAACCTCCGCCACCAGGAGATGCTCTCCGGCTTCACCTTTACCTTTGGCAACCGCTGCGACAGCCGCCGGTCGAGCATCCACGGCGGCATCAGCCCCGGCACCTCGCGCATGCCCTCCTTCGACGGCGGCAGCCGGCCCATGCCCTCCGCCGCCGATGACGACGAGAGGGACCCCTTTGACAACTTTGACGAGCACTTCCTCTCCCCCGCTGCTGCTCAACGGCGACCTGCCCTCTTCGCCTAAAAAGGCGGCTGTAAGGCCCTCGCCTTCCACATTGAGCATAACGAGTCACGAGACCATCCTGCGACGATTCGGCAAGGATGCGAAAAGAAACTAAATATCCGACGGCAAGCTGTCAGACAGCACTGCGACGCAATGCAGCGGAATGACTTCCAACGGGCCAATCACACCCGATGATCGTCCACTGCATATGACGACTAGAAATCACACCCCATAAAGCCGATCTCTCACACTACTACTCCATCTCTCACTTCCTTTCATTGTTTCCTCTTTTAGTGTTTCACAGCATTGGACAGGCGAGGCGTTCAGGATCCGGACATGTATTTTTCATCTGCTTGCTACCCATCATCCTTACCTCGTATCATCGAGGAGCGAATCAGGGAACAGCAGCAAAACCACCCCCCCCCAAAAGCTTTAGACCGAGGGCAATTGTTTTGTTAGACAGGAAAGCGGAGGTGAAAAAGCACACGTCAGACGAAAGTGTTTATCCTTTTCATTCCTGCTTCGGAAGCGAATGGCTGAACCCCCAAGGGTGAGAAAGCCCGCTATGGCACCGGTACATTGGGGGAAATGGGCTGCGCGAAAGGCAGCGTCTCGACTGCATGGGTCGGGCAACACGCAGCCTCGCGAAGTTCAGGGCTTAATGGCCGAACGGGACATCTAATTACCTCAAGTTGGAGACAATCAATCAAAACAGTAAAAAACTAAAAAGGAAGAAGACGGAAAACCTTCCAACACGGTATCATCCTTGATCGTGATCCCCCTGCTTTTCTACCTAGCCAGGGGACGTTGAAGTCAATGATTCATCTCGCATCGTAGCCCCGTCCTGCAGTGGTTCCCGTTGTGGTCTACCCTCCATCCTTCCTTCCACTACCGTCTCCCTCCCCCCGGGATCTACTGCGCTCGCTGTCCTTTTTTTTCTTACGTCATGTCCATCCCTCTCCTAGTTTTTGCGGAGTGCAGACCACGCCAATGTGCACTCTCCTCCCCGATCAGGCCATCGTCGGCTCCCCACACTCCTTTGGCCCGAGGACAGTGTGTGAAGGCGAGGCACAGCAGACGCCTTCCCCCCCCCCTCCTACCGTGGCATCGTGGCTGGCGATCACCTTCTGGGGCTGGCCTGCACTACGGGTGAAATTGGCCTTAGCTTGACACGGCCAAGCGCCGGACGGCGTCAAAATCTTGTGTGGACGTCAAGGTTGCTGCCCGCGCTGGTCCAAAACTGCCCCCCCAGGGACATGGCACTCGTCGATTCGACTGACTGAGCGTCGCCGAGCCTGAAGCCAAGGCCATAGACACCTTGACACGAATGGCGACATTTGTCTCGGCGGAGGACCTCGTCATCGATTGGTGGGGGAGAAAGAGCGCGCAGCTTGGCTTTCTGGCTCTGGGTAAGATTGAGGAAGAGGGGGGGGGGGGGGGGGGGGTTTGTTATTGGAGTCAATTTTCGAGAGCTCCCAAGTCTCCACGGACAAGCCTTTTGAGGGCGTCCTGGGCGAGAAGCTGGGCAGCGTGGGATGGATGATTCATTCGTTCGGTCAATTGAAGTCTTGTGTTGGGCTGCAACGAGATTGAAGCCTTCGTTTGGAGGCCGGCCAAGACGACGGACTTTGTCTACCTGCGTGTCTTGGCTGCGCGAGCACGTATCAAGGAGTGGGATAGCGGCGCACGACAATAGGGGCATCACACGGGCGGACTAAGGAGAATTTGGGCAATCAATGAGCATGTTGCGTTGTCAGGTTCAAGATCACGCGATGTGATGGGATGTGCCAACTGATTAATTGCGAAATCCTCCATGTTGGAAGAGAAAGGTTCCGCACTCAAAGATAGTTGCCTGAAGATATTCTCGTCTCGTACAACCCCATCAATCTCCCTAGGGAGGTTGACAGGGTGTATCCGGCTCAAGATCAGAAGCTGGGGGCTAAACTGACCGAGCATGGCAAGAGACGGCTTAAGGCCGCAGCGGACAAGGGAAAAGACAAGGTAGGTAGGGACGATAGGGTATGGTGGGCTGGAATGATCCAACTGAGCGCTTGCTCAGACGTAGGAAACTCAACGGCTTGATTGAAGCTGCATTGAGATGTCTCAACTGCTTGTCCATGGCTGTCAGGAGGCCGTGCATTGTGACGGCGTCTCGTGCTAGACCTGGCGTTCGTCGGGTGGTGGTGAATGGTGGACGTCAAATGGGTTGAAGTTGTGTGGCACGAAAAATTAAGGTCGACATCGGCAGAAATTCGGCTCATACGTGATTGGGATATAGCCCCACTATATCCGCCTAGAACCTGGAACAGTGGAAAGACAGCAACAGCGGACTGGAGCCCACAGTCAGTCGCTCGGTTGTCAAGCATCGACTCCCCAGTTGGCGGCGTTGTTTCCCATTGAACCACACTTCAATGCCTCACTGAATACCCTTGGAGGAAAGAGAGAGAATGAGAAGCATGCTGCTTCATAGCTGGGAATGCAGAGCGTGCTGATGGAACTTGCGCAACGAACAAGCTTTCCATGTTTTGGAATGTGTCTGCCTGACTGCTGCCGATCATGTATCCCTTCCACGTAACACGTTCACCGGGCGTGCCTGCCTGATGCTCAACGAACGACCTGGTCAAGGGACGCTGAGGATGGACGTCTGACTTGTCAAAAATTATTGCGCAGCGAGAGCATCGAATTACCAGACTTTCCGTCCCAATTCTTCATCTTCTGCCTGTGGCGATGCCACCACCCATTCAACGCGTGTAAACACCAGCCTTCCCCTTGTATCCTGGTATCGCATACACAGAAATCCAATGCGCCACCATCAAAGACTGGCGCCGCTGGCCAAGTTCTTGCAGGGCTGTGTCCGACACGCGCCCCACGTCGCCATCCTCATCTTGTTGGTGTCAGCAGCTTCTAAGTATTTTTACCATGGTAATTCATCAACCTCTGTGCTGGCACTACCGACTGAGATTAACACGCATAGGACGACATGACCCCCTCAAGTGTAGAAGTCTCCTTGCAGAAGGCAGTTGGCAGCCCCAAGGGCACTCTGATCATCCTGAGGATGCTTTCAAGGCCTGGCACCCCAGCAGCTGCACCGCTCACACATATCACACGGATGATGTCAAGGCCTGCCTCGGCGGGCGTCGCCTCGTCTTTGCTGGCGACTCGACCATCCGTCAGCTATTCTGGGCAGCCCTCAGACGTCTCGATCAAGAAATGTACGAGCGAGAAGCTCGCAGTTTTGCCCTGGTCCAGGACAGGGCCGTGGATCTTTCTTTTCTGGTCCACCATGTACAACTCGACTTCGTCTGGGATCCGTGGCTTAATTCCACAGCCCTTTTTGGCCAGTTATCGCAGTTCAGATTGCACCCTGGAACAGCCGATTACGACAAGATAGCTAAGGAAGAGGGCCGAGACTCTCCCAGCGTCATTGTCTTGGGCACGCCGGGCCTTTCAGCTGCACGCAATGCCGGCACAAAATATCTTGGGACCTTTAGCGAAGGCATCAATACCGTGATACACTATCTTCGTGGCAACATCGATGACAGTATCCGTATCCCTAGATCTAAAGCGCAGGCGGCATACGACGAGCTGTCCAATCTTGTTGTGCTTGCGCCAGTGCAGTTTCCCGCATACGACAGGCTCTCCTTTAGCAGAGCCGAGCAGATCACGCCTGGAAAGATCAGAGCAATGAATTGGAATCTCGAGAACTCTGCCTCCCTGGATCAATCGCATATCATGTGGAGCTACAACCTTATGACTGAGGGACCCAACGACGCATACGACGAAGACGGGTTTCATGTGCTGGACAGGGTAGCGGACTGGCGTCTGAACATCATGCTTAACGCTCGCTGCAATACTGGTCTGGCTAGGAGCAGCCCATCGAGGAACAAGATCACATGTTGTGTTCCTTACTCGGTTCCGGCCAGAGTCCAGACTTTACTCCTAGTGTTGGCGTTTCTTGGTCTCCCTTGGTTGGTGTTGGACAGTGACCAAAAGGCTTTCGAGGCCTCTGGAGCTCGACGTCCCATCACAGCGCTGATCGCAGTGGCTTCCATGCTCGCCATCGCCAGTTATTGCTATCTCGCTGATAGAACGCATCTGTTCGACAAGAACGCAAAGCAATTTGACGCTTCATCAGTCGCATGGTCCTCCCTTTTGTTGGCCGTTCTAGCAACGGCTTCTGTCCGATCCAGTCGAGCGGGTTTTCTGACGCCAGTACATCGCAAGCCCGTGTCGTTCCTAGGCCGCGTCCAGACGGAAGAGTTGAAAGGCCTGATGCAAGGATTTCTTCTACTATACGACTTTCACGGTGCTTCGGAGATACCGGCCATGCACCTACCGTTCCGATTATCTGTGTCTGCCTACATTTTTTTCTTATGTTATGGCCACGCACGATACTTTCTGAGAACCGAGGACTTCTCCTTCACACGAGCAGCCCATATTCTATGCCGACTCAATGTTCTTAGCTGTCTTTTGTCGTTCATGTTGGATGCCCAATGGGCTACGCAGTACTTCTCTGCATTGGCCAGCTTCTGGTTCCTTGTCACCTATGCAACATTGGCAAGCTTCAGACACTTGAACAACAACCTGGCTCTGCTCGTGGTGAAGGTGCTGACAGCCGGTGTCATGACGTCTGTTATCATCGAAACCCCAGGGGTCGTCGGTGGCATTCTTCTGGCCCTGAACAAGTGTTTTGGTGTTGTTTGGGACGTTCAGAAAGTGCATCTCTACGTCTCACTTGACAGGTTCATCCCCATGTTTGGCGTACTGTTCGCAGCGGTGGTCCATCGTTTCACGGTTCTACAGCAGCAGCAGGATGATGGAGGAAAGAGCATACTAGTCAACACTGGCTCTCCGCTCGACAGGCTCAACTATGCTCTGGACCGGGAACTCGTTGGCATGATCTATCCAGGCAAAGATGCGATTTCCGTCAAATCAATCTGGATTGGGTTTTCCGGTCTATACCTCGTCGCACTCGGGGTATTGGGGTTTGCAGCAAATTCAGACAGCGACAACCGTGCCTACGATGCCTACCATCCCTACGCAAGCCCATGGGCGGTCCTGGCCATATTGGCTGTCCGAAATTGTCATCGTGGGCTGAGGCAGCGTCATATGGCTGGAGCTATAGCGCTTGGTCGCATCTCCTTGGAGACATCTATCCTGAAGACTCACATCTGGCTGGCCGGCGACGGGACGAGCATCCTCCGGATCGGCTCAGGAGGCCGGCACGGAACCATGGCCAGTTCGCTCGCCAGACCGGCAGAGCTGACAGTCCTAACTATTGTGTTCCTATGGGCGGCTATCAAATGCAGGGACTCTACGCAAAAGATCGCACAATGGCTTGGGCCAAAGGCGGGCGATCAAGGGCCATGGATCACAGTTCGGCGAGCGTCGGAGGACACGGGCGGCAGGCTCAAACAGGCAGCTGCGGGCCAATCATGGCAGGATGTCGATGATGAGGAAGCAGGAGTTCGAAGTGAAGACACAGCCATTCCGGGAAGCGATCCCAAGTGGAAGGTCGCGGGGATCATGGGAGTTCTCTGGCTTGGTAACATGGCGTACGGAGATCACTAGATGGCTGTTCGTGGCGTCTAGAGCGAGGAAAGTGACGACACGACACCTAGCATACATGCATCGAAGAATATGTACATCAGCATCATTAATCTGTGCCCAGAGGTAACTCGAACTCCCAAGGCTACGATGCAATTGGTGAAAACAATAGCCCTCTGCCGACCTTACCAAACTCACGAGGCGGTAGATGGCCCCCCCTTGGCATCCTGTTGAGGTTAGAAGATGCTCGAGTCGTGCTCGGTACACCAAACCGCCTCCCTGACCAAGGTAGGTACCGAGACACGCCAGGCCATGGGCGACGAAGTGCCTTACGTCACCACCCTGCGCCAGTCGCGACTTCATCTCACCATCATCCATCTCGTCCAGGACCTCTTCCTGCGCGGTTTCACATGTTCAATGCGACTGCTTCGTGCGAGCGTGCCGTGTGATAGCCTGTCATTCAGCCGCCGGGATGGCGAATGCACCCTGAGAGACGACAAAGGTACCCAACGCATAAAGCCAGTTGACACTGTTCCCAATGCACGCTCCGGGATCTGCACAATCTTCAAACATCACCTAGCCACCTAGAGCCTCTCGCAATACGAATGCGTTCAATATATTGGAATTCCTATTTCTACACACATTTTCTTTTTCTTCACCTTCTCTTTCGGCGAACCGTATGATATTTCACACGTCGCAAACATGATTCTCGGCCCCGTATCCCTCATTGACTGCGCCGTCTTCTGCGTCTTTCTTGCTCCTCAGCTCATCCTCCACGTTGGCCTCTTCCGCACAACCTACTTCGCGCTACGCGCTCTGCCCTTTCTGGTGTTGCGCATGCCGGCATCGCTTGTGAAGGAGAGGTTCATCCTACGACGCGACCAGCGGTCGCCATTCGTGGCGCGGGCGACATTGTTTGAGGATCTCGTCGTGCGGTGTGTGCGGTATGCCTTTGCGGAGATCCCGGCCAATGTTGGGCGCGTCTTCTTCTCCAAGGCTGTGGCGCTGCCGTTTCTACGGTGGAGGATGGCGCGGCATGGATTTGTGAGGTCGCCCGTCACGTGGAAAGAGTACAAGCAGGAGGTGAGTCGAGAATTCGCCATGGACGACTGATCAGCAACTAACAATGTACAGGGACCGGATGGCTTTCGGGGCATCTGGATAAGCGCGGACCCGTCCATGGTGCCTGACATGGTCCTCTATTACGTGCACGGTGGCGGCTTCGCCATGGGATCGACATACTTCTACCTTGAATTTCTGCTTGCGTGGCATGCGCTGCTTTGCAAAGCTGGGTACCGCAACCCGGCCATTTTTGCGCTTGAGTACTCGCTTGTGCCCGACCAAACGTACCCCACGCAAGTGCACGAGACATTGAGAGGCTACAGACATGTTCTCTCTGCAGTGGGAGATCCCGCGAAGGTGGTAGTGGGAGGAGATTCTGCGGGAGGCACACTCGTGCTCACGATGCTCTTGGAACTTGGGCAGTTGAGCAGCGCAAGGGCGTGTAAAAAGAAGTCCGAGCAGGAGGTGCCCAACAGCGAGCGTCAGCAGTATTGGAGGAGCGCATACGAGACACCCCTGCCGGGGTTAGCGGTCCTCATCTCACCGTGGGTAACGCTTATATCCGCCAAGCACGACAACTCAACGAGTGACTATCTCGACAAGTATCAGTTGCACGAGTACGCCATGCAGTATGCCGGCCGAGACCACATATCAGACCACACGGCATCACCGGGCCTGTGTACGGACCGTCAGTTGTGGGCGAATGCCAGTCCGCGCTGCGGCTTCTTCGTTATGTACGGGTCCGAGGAGGTGTTTGCGCCCGAGATACAGGAATTCATCAAGACAGCTGTCCGCGGTGCCGAAGTGGACAGCCGCAAAGAGACGGGAGGGATCCACGCGTGGCCTGTGGCGTCGCTATTCTTGTCGAGCTCAGAGGAACAGCGGCTGAGGGGGCTGAGAACGCTAACTGTATCCATTAGAAAACACATACTCTGACGAGTGGGGTCGACTGAGGAGGAAAGGGGCAAGAAGGGATGGGCGTGTCAGATTAGATCAAGTTATTCTGGTCCGTCTCAGACCTCGACCAAGGAACCTCAAAACCAGGGCCGGCGACAGCGCGGCGCGGCTTCTGCGGTCTTCGGTGCGATGAGCGGTCTCGGGCGTTTTAGGCTCATCTTGTAATCATCATACGTAGGGAGGAAGGGGTCGGGGATTTGATAGAAGACGGGGATCCATTACCTATGGAATTGTTCTGCCGATTTTACGCGCATTGGCGAGGCCATGTCGTGCATGCTGGAGGCACAATTGTTGACCTGCAGCGTGTGCGTCGGGCGTTCTTCGGATGGCACTAGAAATAGTCGCCGGTGCAGTTTGCGTGGGTCTCGTCGGGAGCTGAGGCCACGGCCTGATGCTGGCTGACTGGCTGACTGACGACAGGCAAGGCAGCTTGTAGTATCAGCTTGTTGACGCGTGGTACCGAGGATGGCGACCGTGCTGCTCATTCGAGGCAAGGATGGGCCGTCGTGTCCAGAAGGAACGTGACTGAGATTCTAAGAGTGTCATTAGGGTGAGACGCCCAAGTTCCAGGCCGTCCGCGAACACGTTGAGTAAGGCATGTGGGTATGGCTGCTGGCAACATGGCTGGGTAGGTGGATAGAGAGCGTCGTGTCGGTCGCAGTATCATGCCGGGCAGAAGTGGCAGTCACCGAGAAGCCGTCAGACAAGAGGCCAAACGCATGCATGGCGAGTTGAAATAGGCAGCAACCGAGCATGCCTAGGGACTCTGACGCAGATGCGCAGCGAGCGTGACATGCTTAATTGCCCTTCATGTGGTGAAAAGAACGCCCGATGCTGCAGGGAGTCCGAGCCTCGAGACAGAGATTGTGCCTGGTGCGAGAGAGGTAAGAGGCCAGAGCCCTGATCTTGCTTCTCCAACAAGCGAACGTGAGCTCGAGCTGCGACCACGTCGGGTGGTAGAATGCTAAGAGCGCAGCATATTCTTGGTTTGCATTTCGCGTCGGACGATATTAATGAGGTTTACTTCGCAAGATGCTTAAGGTAGGCACCTTAAAGGTAAGGTAGGTAGGTAGGTAGGTACAATGCACTCTGTACGAAGTCAAAAAAATTCAAGGCTGTCATGGGCAGGAGCAGCTCGGTCGATCATCGTTCATACCTAACCTGGCGCGTCAAGCCTAGCACTGGGCAAGCACCATCCTGCCTCGAGATGTGAGTGGTTGGGGGCGGTACTCCTGCGGATCCCTGCCGGTTGTGGCCTGGCGGCTGAGCGTGTGCTCCCCCCCTTCCCCCCTGCCAGCGGGAGCTGTTCTTGCTGGTGTACAAGAGGTGCGCCTGAAGGGGAGAGGGGCCTGAGGGGAAGACTCTCTCACCCACGATGCGCATATAAACGCGACATTTCCCTTCGCCCAAGTCGGACCCCCCCGGACGCCCTGCCTGCCTGACCGTCCTCCACCGTCAAAGACAATGTACTCTCCTGATTTGACCACTGCCGTCATCGACCATTGAGGTTAGCGTCATCACTTCTGCTACTTTTGAGAGAGACCGACACTTTTTATTATTTCATCTTTCAGAAAGGCCTGATTGAGTTCTCATCTCTATTGCGTACTTCCTTTTCTTCATTCCCTTTGTTCGAGTTGCTCGGTCTGGGCTCTCTCTCTCTCTCTCTCTCTCTGTGCCTTTGAGTTCCCATTCTCTGAGGAAACGAACGGACCACACCAGCGCCGTCTTGGCCCCCCACCAAAGTCCACCCAAATCGCGATCAGAACCCATCCCGTCATCTCACGGAGACGCGTCGACGCACCGACCACACAACACCACCAGGATAGGACTAGCGGTTCCTCGAGCTCGAAGCATCCTCCTCATCAGCCCTGTCACCTTTGGGTCCAGCGCCCCCTCTACCGTCGAGCTTTCTCTTGCTCCCTCGGGACTGGCGTTTGCTGGGCTTTGTCGGTTTGGGGCCCTGCTTTCACTGGTCGAACCCAACCCACTCGCGTGGTAAAGACATCCAGACTGTCGGATTTATTCCTGTCGTTGGAAGAGCAGCCATTCGGAGCTTTCATCCCATCCTCCCCCCGGTCTTTTGTAAGGAGACCATTCTCGAAGACAGGACACGAGAGGCACCAGCTAGTCCCACCTGGCGCCCAGTCGCTCTGTGCACACTCTGCTGTACCTAGAGGCATAGTCCTGCTGCGTCCTGCGAGTTGCGCCCCTCATCACACCTCTTGATAGGGCCCTCTGTCAGTTCCTTGCAGCGCACTTGTCCTCCTTCAGCAGACTGCGCTGTCTTGCGTAGTGGCGGTGTGTTTGCCATCTCCAATCGGACTCTGCCTCCACATTCCCAAGTCGGGCTGCGTCTGTACCGTGAATTCGCAGGAGACGCGGAACCTCCATTTCGTCAAATCGCCGCCGTCCCCCCCTCCATATCAAGCCCCGGAGCGACCGGCCGGCAGCCGAGCTGTGGTGTCCTTGCGCCGTTCCTCTTTCCACTCGAACCCCACGAACACAGCCGCCAAGGTAGAGTTCCTCCCTCGCCTCGCACCAAGAGACTTATACCTTAAGATCACTCGAGTGGGTAGGGAGGAGACTTCCCTTTATCTCGAAGCGCAAGCCATCATAAGCTTTCCCCTGGTTGGCTAATCAAACCAAAAAAAAAATCCATCCAGCTGGGACTTGAGACTGGGAAATACCCACCAAGGCCGGCTACCCCTCCAAGGAAAAAAAAAATTAGAGGCGCTTTTTTTTTAAAGGCCAAAGGCCCCAGTTGTCCCCCCCCCCCAAAACATTAAAACATGGCAGAGGAACCGTACGCGCCCAAGTCCCCCGACCTCCCTTCTTTCTATTCGGCAGCCCCCACTTCGCGCACCCCTCCAGCAGCAGCAGCAGCAGCAGCACCGCTACCACTACCAACGCAACCGCCATTGCACCCGTCTGGACCAGGACCACACCTGCAACTGCAACCGCAACAACATCCGCACCCGCACGCACAACCCCAGCACCTGCACCACCCCCACCAGCAACAGCTTCATCACTTGCAGGCTGCGGCCGCACCCTATGAGTACCCAACCCATTCGCAACAACTTCCTAGCCCGCCCAACAACCACCACCAACCCTATACAAACCCGCCCGCTCTAGCTCCTGGACCTACAGTTCCTGGACCTGCACAAGCTCCAAACATCGGCCTGGGATCTGTCAAGCAGGAGCCCCACTACCGGCCTGTCGCCATCAAGAGTGAATACCACCACAAGCCTCCGTATTCGCCACCACAGGCCGCCTCTCAGCAACCTCACTACCTTCCTCCCGAGTACCAGCAGCAGCAACATCAGCAGCAGCAGCAGCAGCATCATCGCGCCCAACACCTGCAACAGCAACAGCTCTCACCGCGACAGCCAAGTCAAGCCTCGCCACCTGGTCCAGCAGCTGTTTCTGCACAAGCTTTCTACGGCCACCAACCTTCTGTGGCTCTCCAGTACCAGCAGCAGCAACAACCGCCGCCGCCGCCGCAGACACACCCTGCGCATCAAGCTTATATAAAGCAAGAGTCTTTTGGTGCCGCGCCGCACTTCGGCAACACACACCACCGAACACTCTCCCATCCGCAATACATCCCACCCTCGCTGCAGGAACAGCAGCGCAAAGAGACTATGCCCCCGCGTCGCAACACCCAGCAGGCGCCGCCCCCGCCCGAGATTGATCCCTCGCCGGTGCGTACCAAGTTCCCGACGGCGCGCATCAAGCGCATCATGCAGGCGGATGAGGAGGTCGGCAAAGTAGCCCAGCAGACGCCCATCGCCGTGGGCAAGGCGTTGGAGATTTTCATGATCAACGTCGTCACCCGCGGTGCCGAGATTGCCAAGGAGAAAAACTCGAAGCGTGTCACGGCGCAAATGCTCAAGCAGGTCATCGAGACGGACGGTCAGTACGACTTTTTGGCCGACATTGCGGCCAAGGTAGGAGAGGACGACAAGAAGCGAGGCGGCAGCGGCAACAAGGCCGAGACCAGCTCCGAGGAAGAGATGGAGGTCGAGCAGCCGAAGAAGAAAGTGCGTGGCGGTCGCAAGAAGAAGGCAGCCACGTGAGGCGCCGCATAGGCCCGAAGGGAAGCTTTCATGCGTTGACGGTCTTGTCCAATTAGAATGACACGGCTTATGAGGGATGACGGTATCTTTATTTTTATTTTTCTCCATGACGGATTGGTGGAACGGACGGATTTGGGCGTTCGGGAGGGGCTACCCTCGCTGCGACTTGAGCATCTACACCGGCGTTTTGGTCTGCTCAGGTGCCCTAAAAGAGGCACACCGGGGCAAGGCATCTGACGCCTTCCTTCTGTAGCTTGGACCTTGAGGTCGGATTAGCGCGCGTTGAGGTCTATAGGCCATTTGGGTCTTTGGAACGGCATGCAATGAAGATTTTCTCTCTCTCTCTTTCTCTCCCTTCCTCTAAGATTCGAGGCATCATGTTACTTGACACGTTGTTCCTGTCACGTATCTCACTTCCGTCACATGGGAAGCCATGGTCGAGGATGTAGAGGGAGCAGCTTGATCGGCAGAGATGAGACTGAAGGGTGCGAGAAGTGGTCGCGGGAGGCATCCAACGGGGTTCGGGGCCCATGTAGATATCCGAGTGGAAGCAAAAAAAATGCGCGTAGCGGAGTCCTTCATGGAGCACGCATACCACCCTAGCCCTTTCGGAAACGAGACTTGGCGGCCAAGAACTCGGAAGTAAGAGGCCAAACCGACATCAGATGTCACCTAATAATGAACGGCAAAGGTGGCTCTCCCTGCTCGTCCCTCGTGTTTCTGCTTCGCCGAAGGGGAGGGGAGTGGAGGAGGTGTGCGGGGGCAGACGCGCCCCCGTAGACGGAAGAGCGGGTGCTGTGCACAGGCTCACGACCTATCGCTGCAGCGCCCGCTAAGCCTGGTACAGGAGGCGGGCAGCCTTGCTACTACCGGGACCTGCCTGCCTGCACCTTCTGGGCATGGTGGGCAGAGCAAAGCAAGCACCCTCAGTGGTAGAGCACCCTAGAGAGGCGGTTGCAGGCCGGTACCTGCCAGGAATCGGTAGGTATTGCTCCAGGTGGCCCTTTGGAACTAAGGCCCCCTGACGACTGACTTTGGCTTGACCGACTCGGCTCGAGGCCCCCCCCCCCCCCCCCCCCCCCCAAACCTAACAGGATCGCATTTCGAGATTCCAATCCCAATACCAATTCCAACAACCACCCGCCACCCACCATCGCCCTCTTCCCATCGCGAACAGATTCAAGAACAACAACAGCCACCCATAGAGCTCGCCCACCCAGCCATGCTCAACCACCCCAACGTCCAACCGGTCCATGCGCAACACCCATGAGGCCGCCCTAGCTCAGCCTCGCAGTTCTCCCCTCCCCCTTCGCCTTGCCTCGCCTCGCCTTAAAGTCTCGTTGGTTCGCTGCGTATAACCAATGTCGTGGGACCTGCTCAAACGCTTCCTCGAGTCCGATGTCTTCAACTCAAATCCCTTCCTCTCCGTCTCGTACCTCTCGTGAGCCATCCTTCCCGTCTCCTCCGTCAATTGCCAGCGCTAATCATCGTGTGTCTCCTCCCACCAGCCGCTATGCCGATCACGTTGGCATCCACTACGTGCTCTGCAATAAGTTGCGACAGTTCCCCTACGAGGACATTGAGTTCTTCCTGCCGCAGCTATGCCACCTTATAATCAGCGTCGACAATGAGTCCATGGCCCTGGAAGAATTTCTGCTGGACTTGTGTCAGGAATCTGTCACCGCCGCCCTTTTGGTTTGTTGCCCCTCATGACTAGGCAAGGCGCCTCAAGGGGGGTCACCAACAAGCAGCTGACCTTATGGTGCAGACATTCTGGCTCTTTCAGACATACTTGCACGACCTCTCCTTGACACCGCAAGCCAAGGCCTTCCAGACATGTCGGCGGGTGTACAACAAGGTCCAGCATATCGTTTTCGGCCTGCCCGATGCCGCTCGACACGAGAGAATCAAGGAGAACACGTTGCCCGTCACGGTCCTCGCCAGCTTCGTCCTCGCCAGTGTCGCCGTGCCAATGCTCCCCTCCTGGGCTGGACCCCTGGCCGTCGCGCAAGCTCGCAAGCCCCAACCGTCCGAGGACCTCATATCCGAGACACGTGAGAGCGCGAAACCGCCTGCCCGCGCCCACACCGTGACGGCCGTGAGCTCTCGGTCGAAGCGCATCAAGGACGGAAGCAGAACTACAAGCGCCCCCGACCCAAAGGGCCCGACAGGACCGCCGCACAGCCTTTCGCAGCCATCGATCGTTCGCCAGAACTCGGGTGATTCGGCCAAGACACCCACGGAACCCAAGCGACCATCCGCCCTGGCGATGAAGTCGCTCGAGGCCCGCCTCAGCTCTTCTTCACTGCCTCTGCCGGAGCTGCGGTCGCCGCGCATGGTCACTCGGCCATCGACCCCCGTGTCTGCCGGAATTGTGGCTCGTCCGGGCAAGCTCATGTCCAGGAGGCATTCACACCATCCCAAAAGCGGGCTGGACGTCTCCGATCTCACATGGAACCAAAAAGTCGGGCTCTTGCGGCAGAACTACTTCCGATGCCAGACCCAACTCCTCACAGCACTCGAGGGCATCTCCAACCGCCTCGTCATCGTGCCCAAGCCTGCGCGGCTCAGCGCCTTGCGTGCCGAGCTTGCTTTGATCGCGCAGGATCTGCCGGCCGAGGTTGACGTGCCGGTTATCTGTCCGCCAACGCTCGTTAATGGATCTCCGAGCAGGAGCCGACATCATCGAATCGTACGACTGAACCCTGCGGAAGCGACAGTACTGAACAGCGCGGAGAAGGTGCCCTTTCTCCTCATGGTCGAAGTCTTGAGGGACGACCTCTCGTTCGACCCAGACTCGGTCGACAATCAGAGGCTGCTTGCCACGCTTGTCACCGAGGAGGGGAGCTCAAGACGCATATTCGACTTGTCCGAATCGAAGCGAAGGATACCGGCCCTTGCGCGGGCCTTGGAACCTGTTGATCCCGTGGTTGACAGCGTCTTCGAGCCTGTGTCGGGCGATCTCGGTAGTTCGCCGCTGCTGAGACCATCCGACGATGAGCCGATCAGCAAATACCAGGGCAAGCATATTGCAGCCAACCATCCACAGCGACTTTCGAGCGGCGGCACGACAATGTCCAGCACGGTCTCGGACGTTGCCACTCCTCGGAGCTCGGGTGGCTCCACACGATCGAGCAGCCCGGGACCGTCGCGTAAAATGACGCTTACGGCCCGCACCAACACATCAGTAGACCAGCCGGATATCTCGGCGTTGGCGACACACATGCGCACGGCCTCGCAGATGCTCGCGCAGCTGGACGCGACGAGCGGCAAGAGGCCGAAGGGCGAGGTGGCAGCCATTCGAACGAGAATCATTGCCAGCATGCAGACCTTGGAGGAACAGAGTTTCGACCTGGACGATGGCACGGGGCCAACGTTTGACACGATCATCGCCAAGGCTTCAGCGGCGCAGGCCGCCATCGATCCCGACCTCGACGAGACGACGCCAGCTGAGACAAATGTCAACACGGCGGCCGGTCTGGCACGGATGGAGAACGACATCAAAACGGGCGGACTGCAGCGAAAGAGTGATCGGGACGACCCCAGCGCGGCCGTCTTTGGCGAGGCATGGCAGGCCAAGAAAGAGCGCATTCGAAAGACATCACCGTACGGCTGGATGAAGAACTGGGACCTCATCAGCGTCATTATCAAGACGGGCGACGACCTTCGGCAAGAGGCTTTTGCGTGTCAACTGATCCAGGTGTGCCACAAGATCTGGATCGATGCAGGTGTCGACGTATGGGTCAAATTGATGCGCATCCTCGTCACGGGGGAGAGCTCAGGTCTCGTCGAGACGATTACGAACGGTGTGTCGCTGCACTCGATCAAGCGCAGCCTGACTATGTCCATGATGGAGGCAGTACCAAACCAGCGGTCACGGCGGCTGGCGACGCTCAAGGACCACTTCATCAAGGCGTTCGGTCCGCCAGAGAGCGAGCCGCACCGAGCCGGCGTTGACGCGTTCAAGCGCTCGCTTGCGGCATACAGCATCATATCGTATATCCTGCAGCTGAAGGACCGGCATAACGGCAATGTGCTCATCGACAGCGAGGGCCACATTGTGCACATTGACTTTGGTTTCATGCTGTCCAACTCGCCAGGCTCGGTCGGGTTCGAGGCAGCGCCATTCAAGCTAACGCACGAGTACGTTGACGTGCTCGGGGGGATCGGGTCGCAGGATTATGATGACTTTAAGCAGCTCTGCAAACAGGCCTTCCAAGGTGAGTCCGGCAGTTGCTCTCATGTCTCGTGTATGTAATTGTACTAAAAACATGCGCAGCTCTCCGACGGTCGGCGGATAACATTATTGACCTTGTGGCCATGATGGGTCGCGAGTCCAAGATGCCGTGTTTCTCGGCGGGCGTGACGCAGGCGACGTACAACCTGCGCCAGCGCTTCCAGCTCCAGCTCAGTGCGGACGAAGCTGAGCAGTACGTCGAGACGGACCTGATTGGCAAGTCCTTGGGAAGTTACTACACGCGACTGTAAGTTCCCTTCCTTCGCATGCGGCCCCCCTACGCCGTGAAGATTCCAGCCTGCCTCTCTGCTCTGACGCGCCAGGAACTTGACTGACATGTTTCCCAGTTATGATACCTTCCAGTATAGGACGCAGGGAATCTACTAGGCCGTGCCGGGCGAGCGAGAGCCACGTATTTGGGTGGCGTTCTGGGGCGGGAATAGAACAGTGGTGGATGCGTGTCTAGAGAATAACAGGGGCCCCAGCTGGCCTTGCCGGAGAGATTTTTTGCAAAAAGGAAGAAGAGGGAGAGATGGTTTCTTTATGTTTGTGCGTGCGGCGCATGTGAGTGGACGTGGGTGAACAGAAGAAGCATGGGGCGATTCTGGACCAGACGCCGAGGCGGGAGTCCCTGAAAGGGCTTTGAAATTTCCAAGCTGCATTGTGGTGTCTGAAACTGCTATGGCTTTGTGTTCTCCGAGAGCGTGTTGTCGTAGGCGGAAGCCTTGTGCTCTGTGGTCTGCGAGCCATGACGTGGCTGGCTGCATGGAAACGTTTGGCCGCCTTCGAGCGCGCTGATGGCTGTCATTGATCTTGACATAGCCCCCCTTTCCCACCCCGCCGGGTTCGCTCGCCTAGGTAGCTACCATGCCACCATGCAGCCCGCGGCGCCCGGCCCCCTGGCATTTTTCCTTTCCTTTTCTGCTATTGATAGTCCGAAGCTGAAGACCGTGAGGCATCCTCAAACTGTCCGACTGACCCGTGTAGACGGCAGCCTGCCCTGGCGCCACACCATTCGTCGTCCGGCTCCCTGGTAGAGAGGACAGGGAAGGATTGATAGAGGCGTACGAGGCGATGATGTTCCAGGGGTGGCGTAGGTGTTGTGTGTCGGCGAAAAGGGTCGAGGCCCGGGGGCATTTTAGTCACATATCGTTGCAATCTCGGGGGGAGGTGGTGTCCGAGGGCAGTTCGGTGTCGAGTGTAGGGCCGGTGACGAGGCTGTGTGTGCGCTTTTTCATGCTGCTTTCTGAATGAGGGAGGTTGCTCTGCACATGTCGTGGGGGCCGCCGGAGGGGCGACATGCGATGGTGTGCAAGGCTGGCCTGTGATGCCTGAGCCGTGGGCTTTTGTTGCCTGTCAGGCGAAGCGACGACTACATTGTCACAGTAGGATTGAGGAAACTTCGGGTAGGGGTATCGGAGCTCTGGAGGGCAAAGGCATCTCGTCCGCCTGCAAGATTAGGCACGTTTCCTGTTTGCTAAACGAAAATGAACTTTGCCGGAGGGTATCCTGACACCCTTCGAGATTGGCGAATACCAAAGCACCCATGATGATGCAAACCGCTCTCTTGCCAGGACTGTACGCCAGACGGAACCTACTCCCTCATCCCCAGAAAACCTTCAAAGTCCCTTGACAAGACTTCGGAACATCTACATTTTGAGGATAAACGTACTCTAAAAGAACGAAGCAGAATAAACAACAAGACCTCAAAATACACTGGCCATCAGAAAAAGAACTGCGACTGACTCCCGAGACACCACTCCCTGATCACCTTTTTTCCGTTTTCACTCTATACATATGACAACCTTTCAGTGTAAATCGCAAACAGACTCAAAAGACCCAATCAAATAAACAAGCCTCTATTCAGGAATCACGCTTCGTCTTCGTCGTCATCACCATCAGCGTCGGAGTTCAGCTGCTCCGTACTACTCTCCCTCCAGACCTCAACCTCAAAGAACGGCACAGTCTCCTTCCCGAAGAAGAAGCTGAGGTCGTCCGCCGCGAACAAAGCCATGTCGCAGGCGACGCCGTCGAGGTGCGCCCGGCGCGCCTTGGCCCGGTAGCCGCTCGTGTCCTGCTGACCCACGCATGCGATGGCGCCGATGAGCAGGGCGCGGCGGGTTGGGCGTGAGATGGTTGTCAGGACGTTGAGGGGCGCGGCTTCGTTGTTGGCTGCCGTGTTGATAGCCAGGCGGACGGGAAGGAGGGGTGGGATTAGCGGGGGCACGCGGGGGTGCGTGGTGAAACGGGGCGGGGGAGCTGCTGTTACTGTTGCCCGTGAGGACAGGGCAAGGCCTCTTGCGCCATGGGCCGAAGACCTGGGAGCTGGATGAGGCAGAAGATGGGGAGGCGGCGGCGGAGGCGGCGGCGAGCTCTGATGTCTGGGAGCTGAGTCGGGCAGTGAAGAAGAGGGCAGGGGGGGAGGAGGAGCTGGGAGGGAGACGGGCCGGGACGTGTTGTGACCGGTCTCGTACCTGTTGAGAAAATTCTTCGCACGGGTGATGTTGGCCTGCAGTTTGAGCTCTTCCCAGTCAGAATCGTCTGATGAGCTGTCGTAGGCGGGTTCCTCGGGCTGTCTCGTGGCGGCAGGCGGCCTGCCTGAGGGGGTAGGTGGCGAGACTTTTGAGGTTTTCTTCAAGCTCAGGTGCCGGTGAACATGATATGCTGACTTGATGAACAGACCCTTGAGTGCCAGTTCAACACTAGATCCCTGGTCTATCAGAACGACCGTCTTGCAGTTGTTTCGTGCCTGGACAGCCAATGCGTGCCAGACTTTTGCCGCCGGATCTCGAGACGTGACGACACTGATTTGAGCATCAGGAGGACATGAAAAGTTGAGATTATCTGTAGCCTGTCAATCAGCGAGCTGGCCATGCAAGAAGCGACTTTTTCGGTTATCTGCTGGGAGGAGGGGTGGAAGACACCGGCTGGAGCAGACATACCGGAGATTTGCTGCCGAAGATAGCTCCATGTCTGCAACTGGGACTCGGATGACATGTTATGCCCACGCATTGATGATGTCGAGGAGAGCGGGATAGGGGTCGTGACAAGCATAAAGGGTTGTTGAGGAGGGCTTCCGCATGTTCGGATGGCTGAATTTACCAGAGAGATCCACACATGTCAAGGTGGAATGAATGGGGCAGGGTATTTAATACCCGAGGACGATGAGAGAGGGCAGAGAAGTGAAGAAGGAAGACGCCGGGTACTTATTGTTGTGCGATTCGATGATCACATTCATCGGGTCCGACCCTGTCGAGAGCCCGCGACCAGGAGAGGTACTGAGGTACCTTAAACCGAACGAAGGTACCTCAGAAAAGAAGGTACCTCAAGGGAAGGAAGGCACCTCCAGGGAAGGAAGGCACCTCCAGGGAAGGAAGGCACCTCCAGGGAAGGAAGGCACCTCCAGGGAAGGAAGGCACCTCGTCGGGAAGGAACCTCAAGGGAAGGAAGGTAACTCAAAGCAAGGCACCCTCAAGTGAGGGAGCGGCGGCGCTCGTCAGACGGTGCGCGGCTCTCAAACCAGAGCGGGCAAGGGGGCTGGCCACAAGTCAAAGTGAGGCGGACTCCCAGCCAGCCGACACCTCTCCTCGACATTCAGGCTCGTGCCGACGGCGAACACAGAAAGGTCTTAGACCTCCCATATTTATTGTGCCATCAGACCGGCGAGCAGCAAGTACCACATGACGACGCTCATCACCACAGCACACAGAAGGGGGGGGGGGGGGGGAGGCGGCGTGGTAGACCGATCCTTTGATGATGCTTTTGCAACATCGGCATGTACAGTACCCCAAATACCAGGTCAACTCATGTCGGCGAGGCGTCGGACGCCGTTCGGCTGGCAACCTACGGCAACCGCAGTTACAGGCCTGCTGCCACCAAACATGAAGCGGCTGACTACCTCATAAAATCATCAATCAGGGCACGCTGAGGACTGCATGTACTGGTCCGCTCGCCCATCGGGAGCTCACCTTCTCCTGCAGGACCTTTTGCTCAGAGTCGAAAGGAATGGCCAACTAGGCAAACGACAGGTCGGGCAACAAGCAATAGTGTCAGACAAACAACGACGAACCGGAGGGGGTAGGAACTCAAGAACGAAACCAGTGGCATCGTCATGCAGAAGGAGTCGAGTAGTGTTGAGGAGCATGCCGCCACGCCGACATGTACACACATCACACCTTGCATGTGTATCAACCGACATGAAAGCAGCGTCGTCACGCGCCCCATGCTGCTGTAACCTCCCGCGTGCTGAACGGTGAGCGTCGGTGAACCAAGTGGCGTGGGTGTCCGGAGATTGGAATGTGTCTCCCAAACGGGATAGCAGCGTACGGCCTAGAGAATCTGCTCAGAATGACAGAGCTCTTGCATGGCTTCGCCCGGCATGGCGCGACGGGCAGGGAATTTCATGTTGTCTCTTTTCCGCGCCTCCCAGCCTCTATCAGGTATCCGAAGGGAATTCAAACTCCCGCCCATCTTGCCTCACTTGATCAGGCATCTCATTCAGTGCGACAAACTCCTTGGCCTTGGCCCGTCCTTATTGTCGAAAGAGATGACTGTCACATCAGGCACTCGAGCACGCAACAAATGTTGGGCAGCAAAAAACAAGGGCCCGCTGGTGTCGTCCCAAGACGTAAGGCGTGGACACCGTACAACGATAATTGAGGAGTGCCTCGCCAGTTCTGCTGCCCATATTGTCCAACTTGAAGGCGGAACCAAGCAGTGAGTACAAGGTAAGGGCTGTTCTTCTGAACAAGGGTCCGGACCTCATCAGTGAAAGGTCAGCCCTGGCACTTGACTTAGTGACAGATCACACCCTGGTACGGGCCGACGCAGAGCAAAATGCTGGAGGTCTCGTCCGCCAGTCAGGCAGCCGACCAACATGCGACATGGAACCTAGGACAAAACCGACCACCAGCTCGAGACACATCTCACGAGGTGGGCACTCAACTCCTCTGCGCATGGGGGAAACCCTGCTCCGGCAGTGTCGATGAATTTTGCCAACCATGTCAATCACCTCGTTGCCTCACCCAGACCCCGTGGCTTGTAGTGCATCCAAACCTCCTTCTCGTCCCAGGAGGGCTCCATGCTTGCTTTCGTCGCTCATGGTCGTATTCCGAACCCGGTCATAACACCGGTACTCGCCTCTCATCCTAGGCTACCTGTACTACTATATTACATCTGCAAAGCAGTCAACCGCGCAGTGACCGCCTCCACGAGGGCAGTCTCGCGGTCCAAAAGTCCGCGAACCTGTCTTAACTTGGCCTTTCGGACCTCCGAAGGTATCCTGAGATCGCCTGACTGTGACGCCGAAAGTTCTTTGCCCTCTTTGTCATTGGCGCCCTCGGCAACCTCGCTCTCTTTTTGTATCCGTGCCACCTCGCCCGCCAATTCCTCACGCAGTTGCTGCACAGCTTGCACCCGCTTAGACATTTGCGACTGCGTCTTGGCAGCTGGTGCATCCCGCGATGTTGAGCCCAACAAATTGGCCTCCAGACTTTTAACTTCCTCGACCAACGCCCTCTCTTTGGTGCTGAGCTCACGTGTTGCGACTTTGCCTGCGTGCTTCCTGATGCGTTCCAGGCGTTCACCAAGCTCGCGTTGCCGGTCCTGTGCCCGGGCGATGCGACGCTCAAATCTGGTCTCGTCGCTCTCGCCCTTGCCCTCGCCCTCTTTGTCGTTGCCCGAGATCCTGTCAATCTTGTCCTTGACTTCGTTGGCTTTGTAAATCTGATCCTTCAGCTCCTGTTGCAAGGTGCTGCAACGTCGGAAAAGCTCTGCCACGGCAACCGCCAGCTTATGTGTGTCGTCGCCGAGCACCCTGTGAGCGTCTGTCAAGATCTGCAGCGTCACTGGCGATAGCCGCACTTCCTGGTTGAGTATCGTGCGATGACGCGAGCTCCGCAGCATGGAAAGAAGCTCTGGGAGGCCGGACTGTTGACCAAAAGCATGCGAAGGCTGGAAAGCTGGGCGGGGCTCATAAAAGTCCAGGGGTTGCATGTCTGCCATTTTCTCCTCGTGCAGAGGAGTCTCCTGGCGAACCGGACTGAAGTCTTCTTCAGGCGTCTCAAACGTGAGGGCGATCGGCTCGAACGCCGTTCCTGACAACAGGAAGTAGCCCAGGTCAAGATCGCGAATGGCGACAGCTGCGGCAAGCGGGACCAAGACATCGGCAGATGGTTGCGTGTACAGCCTTTCGCGGGTCGAGTTTTGTCCATTGACAAGGAGTCCTAGTCGAAAGTCCGCCCCAGCCTCTACATCGCCCTGCAACTCGCCCTCAAGGCGGAACACCCAAGGCGACAACGAGATGTATGTCAAACCAGCGTGATGAGAAATAAAGAAAGAATAGCGTGATGTGACATCTGTAGAGAACATTGGCCAGCTGTCTTCGGCGACCTCGGTTGGCCGCATAGTGTCGATCGATTGGAACGTCAGTAGGGATGGGGGATCGGCAAGCTGAGCGAGGCGACTGATCCTTGATTTCTTGCCCTTCGGAGGCAGCCATTGGGCCTCGACGCCCTCCAGGTCAAGCAACACTCTGACCTGGCCGGATGAAGAAAGAAGGCAGACGATTGACAGGGACAGGCCTTCTTGTTCGCCTTCGTCCATATCCAATAATTCATCCTCACCCATCATGAGCTCCTCCGTGTCGATTTTCTTTCCAATAACATGGATATCGGTCAAGAGACCATCAAGGTCATCGCCTTCAGGATCGGCGAGGAGATCAAAAGGACCTTGCAGGCGGGGCACAGCGCCTGGCTTTGATGGCCGGTTGTAGATTTCCACGGAAGGTTCGGCGATACCCGCCTCGATAATGCGAGGCTCTTGAGAGTCAATCTCGCCCATCCACTCGAGCTGCTGTTGGGCTAGAAGCCTGGCGTGCTCCGTAACGTCGGGGTCATCTTCTATCGCGGCGACCTTGGCGACGATCGAAACGGAAAGCGACGGGATCAGAGTGGGAGGCGGCGCCCAGCGTTCGGGAAGAAGAGGGCACAGCGCGTACACGTCTCCCTCGGTCATAGCAACCCAGAGAGTCATTGGGCTCCAACCGCCCGATCCACGCCCGGCGAAGCATGCCGAGGCGACCTCCATCTCGTAACTGTCGGGCGAAAATGCTGTGCCGGCAGAGGTTGACGCTGTGAAATCCTGGTCCAGTGTTTGGCCATCTGCGAGCTTCTTCAAGTCGATAGATACGGTAGGCTTGTCGGTGGACCATCGGTTCTCTACAGAAAGCTCCCAGAGCCGCACAGTGGCGTCCGTCGTCACAGTCACCACGCAGGAGCTCTTGACTCCCAACGGGTGCCACAGCGCAGAGGCCAGTGGTGCCGCAGTCGAAACGTGGGTGGTCGGGCCAACCATGCGAAAGTTGGTTTTGAGAGGTCCCGTGTCATCGGATGTCAAATGCGAAGGATCGGGCAAGGCGCAGACGTGGATGGTGTGCGATGTCAAGACGGCAAGGTGGTTCGAGTCGGGCGATATGATGAGCTGTCGGATGTCCATCGCGACGGGTGTCTTGATGGTCTGGTCCTTTTGTTAGCCTAGATCTGTAACCCGAATCAAACGTATCATACACGAAAGCCCTCCGCTGCTGCGGCTTCCTCGATTGAGGCCTGGAGATCATCTGAATCCTCCCTCTTTATCTTGCTAGCGGAGCGTCCGCCAGGGTGTTTGGCAGTCCATTTCTCCTTCAAGTATGCCAGGTCACCCCATCGCAATTCTTTGCCGACGGCGACAAAGACTTCAGTGCCGCGGCGAGCGATCGTGCGTTTGGACCCAGGAATGTTCTGCTTTTTAGAGTTGTAGGGTGATGCAGCGTCTGCAGATGGAGCAAATAACCGCTGACCGGGCCCTTGCGACAGCCATGGAGCCGTATAGCTCTTAATCTTTGGCATGGCGGCCGTCTGACTGGGAATATTCTCCCCCGTCGATGGTAGAAAGAACCAGTGTGCCTCTCAGAAGGTAGTCGCTCTGGACGGTGAGCTCGGTGCGGTATGGCGAGTTGGGAAGATGCGAAGTTAGCCCAGCCGCCGGGATGGAAGGTGTGAAAGGCGAAGCTTGCCCCAAGCAGCCCAAAAAAACATAGCCTAGCGCAATGCAGTTGACCAGACAGGCACGACCCACGGACAGGGAAGTAACCACACACACACCGAGATCGGATCCACTTTCGTGCGCCCGGCTGGCAAGCTTGAGCTTCATGGACTTCAATTGGTGTCTGTTCATGCCAGTGCCTGCTCCTGTTCATATTATCTTTGTCGCCTCAACCGAGAACACACAAGCCTCTGATCAGTGACCGATATACCCGCCGACGTCAGATCTCATCAGGGATCGTCTCAGAAAGATCGCGAACGGCTGCAGCGCACGCATCGCCACGGCAGAACGACAGCCCCTCTACCACCATGACCCAACACATTCGCAGTACCGTCGAGCGCCTCGACAGGCCAAGCGCCTACTATCACAACAAGGTGAGCCGCTCCTCTGGATGGCGTTCCTGAAGACTGTATATCTAATGCCCCGCAGAACAAGCGCAGAAGATACAACGACCGCGAGGAGGAGGCCGATGCACCTCCTGCTCCCCAGGAAGACCCTCTCGCCAATTCGACGACCCTCTACGTCGGCAACCTGTCATTCTACACCACAGAGGAGCAGGTGTACGAGCTGTTCGCCAAGTGCGGCGAGATCAAGCGCCTCGTCATGGGTCTTGACCGCTTCAACAAGACGCCTTGCGGGTTCTGCTTCGTTGAATATTTCACCCACCAGGACGCGCTGGATTGCATGAAGTACATTGGTGGCACCAAGCTCGACGAGCGTGTTATCCGCACGGATCTTGACCCTGGTTTCGAAGAGGGCCGCCAATACGGTCGTGGCAAGAGCGGAGGACAGGTGCGTGATGAGTATCGCGAAGACTACGACGAGGGACGCGGTGGTCATGGCAGGGCGCTCGAGGCGGAGCGTCTCCGGGAAGTGCAGAACAACAACAGAGGAGCTGAGGCTGAGTATGGACGCACAAGGTAAATGGCCAAGGACACGGTGCGAGCTACAAGTGGTAGGGCAGGGTAGATACCCTCAGCGAGCTGCTAGATGAATATCTCATGACATCAAGAAGACATGCAATCGAGTGCCAGCATTCATCCTGCAATGTTTTACATCAAATTCAATTCCACACCCTCTAGCTGGTTTAAGGTATCCCAGCAAAACCTATACATGTTGTACACAGACGTTCCTTCAGCCAGCACTCGTATGCGTCATTTGCTCGAGTGCGGTCCGTCCCAGCTGCACATGGTGCGGTGCATCCATTGATACAGGCCATGAATATCCTGCCAGAGCCCCAATCAACTCGGATGTTGCCAGGGCGACGCCCACTGTCACCAGAAGAGAACAACGTTGCTCGTATAGTCGATACTGCCCCCACGAGCGTCCATCTAGTAACCAGGAGGATTGACTCTCTGCGAAACCCTCGTCCACTTCGGCAGCTCTGTTCAAAGATCAGCACCCGCCAACGCCGCACCTAGATCCCCTCTCCCCAAAACAAAGGGAAAAACTCACTGTGAATGCCCTTGCGATACCTCTTTTCCTTCCGGTCGAACATGGTGTACTTGTCCTTTGGCAGCATTTCTTGCTCCGTCGGCATCTCAGCCTTCCACTGCTCCACCGCCGCGATCGTCGCGCCTTGCCGCGCCAGCGCCGCGTCCACGGTTGCGATCACAGAGTCGACGGCTCGGAGGCGCTCGCGGTGCCGGCGCTTCTGGAACTTGGAGAGCCTCCAGGGGATCTTCCAGAGGAGGCCGCCCGACAGGGGGGAGGTCATGCGGAAGGGACCGAACATGGTTGTGTTTGCTGCGGGCGTCTTTCGTGCCCGGCGAATTCTGGGGGGGAAAGGGCAGGGCGATTGAAAACTCGTCGGCGTTCGAAATTGTAGATTGAGTCGCCTTGGGTCGTCCTCAGTGACGGTCGCGTCGTCGTCGGCGTCGTCGTTCGTAGGTTGGTCAGGCCTGTGAATTTTGGATGGAACCTGCACGCAGCTGGCTGTCAGGCAGTCAGGCAATCCGCTCCTCGCTGGCGGACTTTTCCCGCTCCCCTGCATGGGCCACGACCAACAGTCCACTGGCTGGCCGGCTGGCAGGGGCAAGGCTCCACCCCGGCACAGCAGGCGCCCCCGCGTGTCCGACCCGGTGAGAGCACCAGTGCG